TACATTTAAAGTCTGTGAACCACTATTATCGTAGTTTGAAAGTTACTTACATTTAAAGTTTGTGAACCACTATTATCGTAGTTTGAAAGTTACTTACATTTAAAGTTTGTGAACCACTATTATCGCAGTTTGAAAGTTACTTACATTTAAAGTTTGTGAACCGTAACTTTCAAACTACGATAATAGTAACTTTAAATGTAAGGTTCACAAGTAACTTTCAAACTACGATAATAGTGGTTCACAAACTTTAAATGTAAACTATTATCACAGTTTGAAGGTTACTTACATTTAAAGTTTGTGAACCACTATTATCGCAGTTTGAAAGTTACTTACATTTAAAGTTTGTGAACCACGATTATCGTAGTTTGAAAGTTACTTACATTTAAAGTTTGTGAACCACGATTATCGTAGTTTGAAAGTTACTTACATTTAAAGTTGGAACCAGAGCAGTGTATATTCGTTGCCATAGATACGGAAAAGCATGAAAGCCAGAGCAATATAGCCACTCGTCTCCTTGAATATACGTTTGACAATTAACATTAGTAAAATTATTGTTTAAAATATTACATCGATAACAGCGAAAGCGTGCTACAAATAATTTTCAGGCAGTTTTTCAAACACTATGGACTATTTCTCTCACTTCTGTCCTGATTTGACCTTTTGGAGGATTTATTTGCTTCAGACTAGGTGATTTTACTAAAACGCTTCTGGTAATTATAATTATTACCGCGTATTTCTGTATTCTTTCATTTAACGAACTTTGCAGCCTAAAACCTTTTCTTTAATGAGCCTATAATTCATTAAAAACATTAATCAACACCAAATGTTTGTTATTCGAAGCCCATACAAACTGTTATGTAACACCGGATAATTGTTTAAATATTAAAGGTTAGAACAAGGTTGACAGGCTTACTTTCTTGCGACTAATTAAAGATGACAACTGATTTTTTCGTAAATCAGATCAGTATCAGTAAACATTAGACACAATATTTTAAACACACACGTTTAATGTCATACTCGTGTCTTTCTGTGTTTGGGAATAAATTGACCTTCGTGTAAACACAATTACAGTGTCTGGCATAATAGACAAATCAAAGCCAACTATATATATATCTGAGCATTTTTAAATTTAAACGTCAGTGTTAAAGTCATAGAAATTAATAATCTTGTCACATATAAATATTAAAGAGTGTTTTATCAACCTTAATGGCGAGAAAACTAACAGTCTTATTAACACGCTATATTTTATTAAAGCAACATGTTATTTAATTATATATATATGTATCTGTTTCTGCATTACATAATACACAAGGCAAAATCGGTCGAGAAATGGGAAGGACCAGTTTATTGACATAAAGTTAAGTATATCCCCAAAATGATTAAATTCGGTAGCCGGTTTGAATTTGAATGACACATCATTAAAATTCCTTTTACTTGACAAGTGAGATAGCAAAACTTATTTTCGGTGAGAATAATTAAGTGTTACTGTCGTATAAAACAATTTATATGGACATTTTTACACTATTGTTATAAAACGTGACCAAATAAACAGTAGGTTGAAAGATAGTTGATAAAGTAATTCCAGTTGATTCGTTAAAACCTACAAAAGAAGGCTGTTTGTGTTCACTGTGACAAACATATAATTTAAGGTTAAAAAAGCATACCTATTTTTAACTATCAGAATGTTTTCTACATATTATTAGCTTGGTGTGAAATCGCTAAATAGAAAAAAAAAGAGTTACGTTAAATATTAAGTAAAAAATTCAATTCAATTTGTCTTCACTTACTGAACAGTGTTCTCTAGTTTATATACAACCGTCAGTATTAAAAAATAATTTTATTTATGTACTAGTTTAAACATCACTGTCCTAATTTGATGATAATTCACACATTATGCTAACAGTAACACAGTTGTAAATAAATGATTTGTTAGCATGCACTATATTTTCCATTAAATGTTATTATGATTAGAAATCACGGTTGTTGATTTACTTCTATTGCTATTATCACTAAACCGAACGGAAAAAAACATTATTGGCAATTATTTTCACACTTAATATGAAAAAATTTGATTGCCATTAAAACCAAAAACGTGATTAAACATGCCAACATAAAGAATGGTTAAATGGGTGAATAATTAATTAAATAATGAAGGGAGTGGGGTGGGGGAGTATAAATATATTAATATACACAAAAATCAATATCGGTAGTTCTCAGATACACACAATAACAAACATTTTGTTCTTTAACATCAATTTTTAAACATCAGATACGGTTTGAAAATACTGTTTTAAGATACGGTTTTTTCATTGCATAATAAAATGAAATTTGAAAAGAGTAGTTATACTTCTTACTTGCTCCTCATCAAAAACTAAATACAAGCCACAGTCTGTGGGAGAAAAATCTACACGGTGATGAAACGTGGAAACCGTTTACCTACACACAGCTATATATCCTATACACAATATAAATAAATGAAAACTTAAAATTACTTACCGAAATATGATACTTTTGAGAGGGCATGTTAAAAACTTGTTATGGTGATGGTTAAGAAAGCAAAGAAATAAGCCAAAGTTTTCAATGCTCTAAAAAAAAAAGGAAAATACACAAAATCTCCTTTTCAGACTCTTACTCAAACACGTATTCCTGAAAATTCTTTCACCAACAGACAAACTACGAATCAGTACAACGTAGACAACGAGTGCCTCCAGCTATTCATACTAATGACTCCCGCTTCTTTCACCTTACCTTTTCAGCCCACAAGTTACCTACACCTGTAGGAGATGTCCTGGAAGCGCCACCTACCACACATATCCGGAAATAGGAGCGAATGCCCCAGACAGAGACGTGAAGACATTCAGCGTCAAATACCTGGAAACATAAAACAAGTATATGAACATAAGGAATGTTGCACAATGAATGTTAAGTACAAAGTAGCGCCTGTCTGAGTGTGTGTGTGTAGTGGAAACAAAAAGTTTTTGGTTAAGTTGCATTTTATTCAAAGTGTGGATTATTTTATTAAAACATTTCGAACAAAGCTCAATTTAAGCGAGGGATTTTTGTTTACATTACGTTATCCATTTCTAGAAGTTTTATAAAAAATTCAAGGAAAGTACTGGAATCCTTAAGGAAATCGGTTTCAAATGTTTTTAATAGAGATTTTTTAAAGGTTTTCCAAACATTCAGTATTTTACCAAAAAACATTTGAAAATTGAAATGTGTGCGATAATATTGGGACATTTAATTTATAATTTTGTTTGGAATTAAGCACAAAGCTACACAATGGGCTTTCTTTGCTCTGCCTACCACGGGTATTGAAACCCAGTTTCTAGCGTTGTAAGTCCGCAGACACACCGCTGTGCCACTGGGGGGGCTTATTGTATAATATATATATATTGTTATAATTTGGTAACAAGGGAGAGCTGGTTTTTCGTTTATTGTTAATTTTCAAAAACTTCTTATAAACTCATTCGTTAATTGTTCAACATTTATCATAATTTATTGTATTATCATGTAATAATGATACCTATAAAATCTGCAAATTTCGAAACAATATTATAAAAAGTATTACATGAAATTGGAACAAGAATAATAATTTAAAATTGAGCTCTCAGTTTCTATCTTTAGTTGATCATTTGGTTAAATAGGCTTAGGTTTGTCTACGTTTACAAATTCTATGGTAACATGTATCTACTTGATAATTTATTAAGGTCTTCTTAATTAGTAAATGTCATATACATGTAAATTATCAACAATTTTATTAGTGTAATTTAGTCACTAATACATTATTATTTATCATTACTGTAATATTTAAAAATGTAATTACAACATCAGCTACAACTTATAAGATAGATAATAATAATAATAGGCCTAAGTTATTACGTACCTATTAATATTAGGTCATGTCAATATTAGTATTTTGTAATGTGTTTTGTTGTTTCCGCTTCTTTTCGGATTGTTTGATAAAAACAATACAATGTTCAGTCAGTATAACAATAACGAATTTATTTTTTCAATAAACGTTTGTTACAACCACGTTCACTTTGACACAAGTTGTAGGCCTAAGATGACAAATAACGGTGATACTAGTAACTGTGATACTATTGTATTCCTAACTCTTATAAACTTATATAATTTTATCTTTAATTGATGGAGAAACTGAAGAGATGCGATAACTGTCACGACTAACACAGAACTGAGTCAGTTGTTGGATATATCCATTGAATACTTCACTGACTTTTCGTATTTGTATGTACTACGTACTTCACGATTCTTCACTTTTATGAATTTTTTCGACCCTCGATCTTATCGTTATGTGTCCTTAGCAAATACTTAAATTAAAACATTAAAAATATAGCTAACAATATGGCCCTTCGTGGATTAGGAAGTCCCTTGAACAATCCTAATACAAATGAAATACTACACTGAACTGTCCATTCACTAAGCCTTTTTGGCGTTTTTGGTTTCTGAGGATTATGGTATATTGATGGAATAACTTCACTGCTGCATTTTCTGTCCAGAGTGTAAACTTCTGTTCATGTCAATAATGATCAAAATGACTTATGTCTTATGACTTAGTAGCTTTTTCCAAGTGGTATAATACTGTTACGCCTCCAGTCGTTAGTTAATTTTCCGTAAATTCGTTCCGACGAAACTTTAGCGACACAAGTCCTTTCTTAAATAAAACTGGTTTATTCTTTCCGAATACAACTTTACGATACACTTAATTTCAACAGTCGCTCTATAACAAACACTATAATTCACGTCTCACGTGGCCAACAATATTTTGTCGGCATACATTCAATTACTCATTACCTCTGTTGTGAACGTCATATATATACAAGACTAACACATATCTAGTAAATGCTAGGGCATTCTTGAAGGAACAGGATATTTCTAGAAAGAGGTGGCTTCGTGGCCGGTCTTATATATACAAGACTACACTACATCTAGAAAGATCACGAGATTTAAGGAAAATACGTGAAAGTTCGACAATGACGTGGCGTGATACTAGTCACGTGACCTCAATGTCGTAACAATACCCTTTTGCAGCATCCATAGCCTTCTATTGTAGGAAATCGTACGTTGAACTTGCAATCAATAGCACAACAAATCTTATTGATTTTTAAAGTAATTTGGTATGAAGACGATGTATTTCAGTGAATGATTTTATAAAATGACAAATGTAAGAAATCATCGTATTTCATACAAGTCTTTTGATTTGGGCCAAAATTGAATTAATTCAGTCTTATATTTGTCTTGCAGATACTTATCTGACCCAGGACACTTACATGTTGATGAAACAATTAACAGTTCTTAGTATTCAGCTGAATTATCTATTTCTTCAACCAGCTCAGGACATTCCTTAGCCCATCATAAGAATTATCAGAGGTCTTCCATATGAGATCATATCATCCATCTAGATGAGTATGATGTTTTACAGTTGAGCACACTTCATCATTGAAATGTAGTAGGTGTATTACATAATCCAAATGGTAACAAAACAATTTTCCACAACCAATTTCCTGCAGTAAAGGTTGTCTTCTGTCTACTTGCTTTGTTGGCTTGCACTAGTGAATATCAACCCTTAAGTTTCAATGTTGAAAACAATTTTGATCGAGATACAGCATTCAAAGTAATGTGAATTATTGATTGTGGGTAGGTATTCTTCTTTGTAACTTAATTTACCTGTGGGTAGTCCATAAAGAACCTTGTGGATCCACCCTTCTTCATAGGTATAAAAGGTGATGCCTAAGGACTCACAATTATTACTATTTGTTCTTTATTGGCTTCTATCTCTTTGAAAAGATTCGGCCTGTTTTGCAAATGGGAGTCATCTGGCTACCTGATGTTTTATGGCTACATTTCCTGTATTGTTTGTTTTGGAGTTTCGCGCAAAGCTACACGAGGGCTATCTGCGCTAGCCGTCCCTAATTTAGCAGTGTAAGACTAGAGGGAAGGCAGCTAGTCATCACCACCTACCGCCAACTCTTGGGCTACTCTTTTCCCAACGAATAGTGGGATTGACCGTCACATAATAACGCCCCCACGGCTGAAAGGGCGAGCATGTTTGATGTGACGGGGATTCGAACTCGCGTCTCTCAGATTGCGAGTCGAGTGCCCTAACCACCTGACCATGCCGGGCCCCATTTCCTGTATCAATCTTATGAGAATATTTTACTTAAGTCAGAAGGTCCATTAGTGCAGGTGTTTTGGTATTCACGAGTAATTTTCTTCAAATTTCTTCTTTGCTTTTAAATTTTGTCTCGCTGTTTTTGACCTTCTTTAAATTTTCTGTTTCGTTCTTCCTGATCTTGTATTAATAATTTCATAATCTCAAGTATTACTTAATTCTCGCTCGTCATCTCAACAGTTAAAGTTCTCAATTATATTCGACGTTATATTCTATTTTCACTACAATAATGTCCAGCTTCTGATATCAATGGAGTAGCATAGTTCTTTCGCTGGCGAATTTTATTAGATTATTGGTTAAAAATAATTGAACGTCCAGTCCACGTAACGATAATAAATTACTTTTATTTATTCCTTTAACGTTTCTACAAAGTTGAACTTTTATACATTGCCTTAATTAACTTGCTGTAGGTCTATGTTACAAATAACATTAACTAATGTAAAACAAACCAACTTATACAAACAACCGCGATAGCTAACGTACTGACTGGTCCACTCTTTATCTTGAAATAACTGTCTTGAAATAATCACATCTATTTACTATCTTCTTGACTATCTTTCAACTTGCTTTCTAATTATCTTATCAACGCTTCACAGAATGTCGTATTTATAGTATACGTTAGAATGTGCTAGAACAAAACTTGACATCAAATCTTAGAACTTTCTAGACGTTCTGCACTCTCTAGCTAAGAAATTACAACATAGAGCTCACAACAACATTTATAGGAAACATACTCTCTTGGGCCCGGCATGGCCAGGTGGTTAG